GCTTCATTTTGGATGGGTTCTGAACCTTTGGAATCAATGTTACTCAAGTACAATTAATAGCATTATGTAATATAGATATTTCAAAGAAGTGAAGGACAACTAATGTTACCTCATCTTTAATTTTACTTTAGGTTCTTTTTGAGAAAATATATAGAGGCGGCTCAAAAATACCTGGGGCCTAAAGTCAAAGTATTTGGAGGCTCTTAAATAATAATTTTTAATAGATATTTTATTTAGAATCTATTTTTTAACTTTTTGAGATACAAAATTATTAATTATTTTCTATAATCGATTTCTTCTAATAATCTTTTTCAATTGATATATATATATATATATATATAATCCATTTAATCTTCTTCTTCTTAGATTTTAATATCATCTAGCTCTACTAGGTTAGTGACTTGTTCATCTTGAAAAATACTCCCCTATATTTTCTAATTTAGTTTTTCTATTGTTTGCTAAAATTTTATCAAGAGCTCCTTTTTGGGGTTGTATTAAATTTTAAACTCCTCTCTTTAAATAACCATGAAATAAAATAATAAAAATAACAAATATAAAAAGATACTAGAATGTTAGAATAAAAGAACCCGATTCAAGAAGTTTGAAGACTTAATTCCAAATTTTATATTGTTGCTTCAAATACTTCCCGCAAGTTTTAAATGTAAGAACGAACAGAAAATGAGATACAATATATTGTATCGAAAGTAGATTTTAACTATGTTGTTAAAGAAGCAATAGAATTATCGAAAATTGTGAACAACCAACAATTGAAATCTTAGAGAAAGTAAGAAAGAATATAAGACAAAGTATGTAAATTGATGAAATATATTATGGCTCTTGCATACACCAGGAAAGAGAGTATAAAGTTTTAACATGTGTCCTACTAAAAAAGTAAAGTGGAGTATAATTTCCTTATTAAATTTATTCCTCATTAGTATGTAGTGATTTATAGAGTTATTCATATTTTCCTATTTTTAAGTCAAACAGTCACTTATTCACCGAGCTAAAAGTTGGCTTTCTTTGTATATATGAAAAATCTAGTTTTCTTCTCAATAGTACTCAGTATTTTTCAAAAATAATTAAGAAAATATAAGACTATTATTTCTAGAAAATGGGGCCCCCAAATTTGGGGGCTAAAGCAACAACTTTAGGTGCTTCATGGTTAAGCTGACACAGATAGAACTTGTCTAGTTTGATATTTCTCTTATTTTGTTAGCATATTTAGGGAGAGGGTGTACAGTTTGTCCAGGGTGTCTTATTTCGTTTTTGAAGAATGAGTTCCTAATTGATAGGTGTCTAGTTTACTGTTTTCTTATTTTGTGTTTGTAGAATGGGTTTCCTAATTGCTATTCTTTATTTCCTGGTAAATAAAATTAAAAAATAAAAGGTGAAAAAGTAAATGCAAATGTTGAAATAAAATCTTCAACTTACAAATTACTAAAGAAAATATTTTTACTTTTGATTTTTTATTTTTTGGCCAATCAGAACATGCTTATAAATCGCCAAAATAAAATTGATTAACTTTTTATACATAATATTGAGATTTTCATGTCTAATATATTTTGGTATTAATAAAATTTTAACAATTGAGTTTTACCAATAGATATGAGTGACTAATTATATACTAGAACATATTTGTTTTAAACAAATATTTTATGAAGTGTGAAAAAACAAACCGCCTCTTATGAATAGCGATTAATATCATTACCTCATACATCGATAATGTACTCATGATTGAGACTTCTTAAGAAAGCATATGGATAATAAACTATTGAACTTGACACAAAGTATGTATTGGTATGGTAGGAAAACTGAAACAAAACTCCAGCAAATGAAAATTATTAGAGCAAAATACGTATATAGCATCGATCTTTAAAAGTGGAATACCAAAAAAAAAAAAAGTATAAAAATTCCTATCTAAATATTCTCTCAACTCATATTTCAAAATCTGGCCATTGACTAGTTATGTCTATTTTTTTTTTTCGTCTACTTCGCATCTTTTCGATCACCGGTCAAAGACGAATCTTGAGAAATAATGCAAAGTTTGAGGAGGAGCTTGATTACTAACACAAGATAAAATGGAAAATTTTGGTACCACTCACGTAAAAAGAATCACATACTGTACATTGATTTTAAACTTTTTCACACAATGTTTAACAAGACTGTTTGCATAATCTTCATTTTGTAGGATTTTTTTCCTTAAAAAACTATCCAGATTAATGGTATTAGAAGAATTTGTTGAGACAAAAGATGTAACTTGAGTAAGGGGTAGTTTAGCCTATTTATGTGTTAGCAGATTAGTGCATTAGTTAGTCAATTAATAGTGCATATGATTGGTTATAGAGGTGGTTAGAGTAGTTAGTGGAGCTGTGTATGTATATATACATGTTGCTCAGGTAATGCAAAGGCATTTATCTCGTTGCTCCTCCTCTCTTCTCTCTCTCTCTCAACCTCCATTTCAGCATGGTATCAGAGCTCGAGCACTGAGTCGAAGCTCACAAATCGATCCTCTGCTTTCTCTCCTACTCTATTACTTTCTTCTCTACTCTGTTTTTCCTTCTCTGCAGTCTCAAACAATTGAGATCTCACTTTTCTGATATGAGGCCCAAAATTATTCAACAATGGCGATTGGTGATTTGGATCACGAAAATGCAACAGTCACAGCTGAAAATGCATCACATGCATCCTCCGATGATGAATTTGAGGAAGGTGTTACAGTTGCAGTCATTCATCCACTATACCTATCTCCGGGCGACACAAGTGGAATCTCTTTGATTTCGTTCCAACTAACTGGCACTGATAATTACTCCTTATGGTATTGATCTATACGGATTGCATTACTTGGCCATAATAAACTGAGTATTGTTGATGGCAGGTGGCCAAAAGAGCGATTTCGTAAGAAGTATTGGTATCAATGGGAACGATGCAATGCAATTGTGTTGTCATGGCTGATGAACTCAGTTGCACCAGTCCTAATCAGTGGCATTGCTTATGCCACTAATGCACACAAGGTGTGGACGGATTTACAAGAGAGGTTTGACAAAGTGAATGATACTCGTTGCTACAATTTGCACAAAGAAATTGTAACCCTAAGTCAAGGTACTTCCTCTATTTTTGTCTATTATTTAAAGCTTAAGGACTTTTGGGATGAATCTGAGTCTGTTATACCCATACCTGACTGTGATTGTGTCAAGACTAAGGAATTTATTGTGCATCTTCGAAAGCAAAAAGTGTATCAATTTCTAATGGGCTTGAATGATTCTTACTCTCAAGCTCGTATTCAAATACTTATGATGAAGCCACTTCCTTCAATGAATCAAGCATATGCCATGCTTATGAGTGATGGAAGCCAAAGGGCTGTAGCTGGTTCTGCTGGTATTTTAGGATCCTCACCTAGTGTAAATGCCACACATTCTTATGATTCAACTGCACTATATAGTGCTAAACCCTAGTTTCAATCCAAAATTTAGGAAGAATTACAATATTCAGTGTGAGTTTTGCAAAATAAAAGGGCACAGTAAAGAAAACTGCTACAAAATAATAGGTTATCCATCAGATCATAAATTCAAAAAGAAAGGGGGAGCTGGTGCTTATAATGCAATGGTCGAACTTGGATACACTATGCCTATGTACTCCCATCATGTCTCACACCAGGCTTCTCAGCAAACTTCAATGCCTCATTTGCCTGCATATCAAAAGCCTCAACAGATCATGAATCAATGAGTTGAATTTTTTCAAGCTGTGAATCAGGCACATGGTCATTCTGGCACTCAAGCTCTAGCATGATCCTCCTCTACACAGGCACAGAGACCTTACATAGATTCCTCTCCACAGACTCAAGGAAGTGTGTTCCCTTTCACTAAAGACCAGTATGATCAGATAATGTACATTCTGAATAACTCAACTTCAACTTCCTCTGCTCAAGCAAATGTGGCAGGTACTAGCACTGCTCTCTTAGCATCTACTAGTCCACAAGAATGGATTATTGATACTGGAGCAACTAATCATATGGTGTTAGATGCTAACTTGCTTACTAAGCCCTCTATAGTTACTCCTTCTAATCCTAGGACAGTCTTGTTACCTAATGGAGATGTCACTCCAGTGACTTACACTGGTGACAAAAATATTTCAGATAGAAGCACACTTAAAGATGTATTCTATGAACCTCAGTTCAAGTTTAACTTATTATCAGTCTCCAAAGTGACAAGAGACCTTAAATGCTTTGCTTCCTTTTATCCTGATTTCTGTGTCTTTCAGGATCTCTTCAGTGGCAGGGTGAGGAAGATTGGTAGAGAAAGAGATGGTCTATACTTTCTGCAGAAATATGGTGGAAAGATGCTCACTGTAGTATCATTAGCTGCTGCTGGAATAAAGTCAAGGCAGGGTGACACTACAATTGATGTTGCCTTGTGGCATAAAAGACTAGGGCATGTATTTAGTATTGTCCTTAGAAAATTGTTTGCTGCCAAACTAGCTAGTATCAATGACACTATCAATAAGTGCAGTGTATGTCCTTGTGCTAGGCAAACCAGACTGTCTTTTCCTTCTAGCTGTATTAAGACTGTTACTGCATTTGATCTAATACATCTTGATGTTTGGGGTCCATATAACTGTGCAACTTTTGATGGCAATAGATATTTTCTGACTGTTGTTGATGACTTTACCAGGATGACTTGGTTTTTTTTACTGAAACTCAAATTTGATGTATGTGTGGTACTTACTCAGCTTATTGTGCTCATTCAAACTCAGTTTAACAAAGTTGTAAAGGTAGTCAGGTCAGACAATGGCTCTGAGTTTGTCAACTCTACCTGTACCACATTGTTTCAGAAGCATGGTATCATTCATCAAAGAACTTGTGCCTATACTCCTCAACAAATGGAGTTGCTGAGAGAAAGCACAGGCATATCCTAGAAGTGACACGAGCTTTAAGGTTTCAGGCCCATATTCCTATCAAGTATTGAGGGCATTATGTGCTTGCAGCAGTGTACCTCATAAATAGGATGTCATCTTCTGTTATTCATGGTCTTTCTCCTTTTGAACTATTGTATAGTAGAGCACCTAATCTGGGTCACTTAAGAATTCTTGGATGTCTGTTCTATGCCAAGCAAGTTCATGAAACAGACAAACTCCTGCCCAGAGCTAAGCCAGGTGCTCTTATGGGCTTCTCTGACACTCAGAAGGCCTACATTCTACTGGATCTTACTTCTCATTGTTTTTTTATCAACAGGGATGTATCCTTTAGAGAAGATATATTTCCCTTCAAAGACATCACAAATACATCACCCCCTATTTTCTTGCCTCATGAATTGCCCAGTTCTAGTGAAGAGCAGCCTTCACTTTCTCTTGTTCCTGCTAGGCATGAGTCTACTGACTCTTCTTCTTTACACCAATCTGCAGCAGATGTGATGCCTTCTCTTCCTCTTTCTATGCCCTCTCAACTCTCCACTGGTCTGAGGAGATCTTTGAGGACAAGGCAGGCTCCTATTTGGATGAAGGACTTTGTGTCACAACCTGGACACAAATCTATTCCATATTCCATTGCTAACTATGTGTCCTATGATAGAATTTCTCCCAAATATAAGGTATATTTGACTGCATTCTCTGCAATACAGGAACGTACTTCTTTTGAGCAAGCTGCTCAAGGTCCTAGGTGGGTCGAAGCAATGCAAGCTGAAATTGCTGCACTAGAATCCAATCACACCTGGGATGTGGTGTCCTTACCTAAAGGCAAGGTGCCTATTGGTTGTAAGTAGATCTATAAGGTGAAGTATAAAGGTACAGGAGAGGTGGAAAGCTTCAAAGCCAGGCTTGTGGCTAAAGGGTACAGTCAATAGGAGGGTATTGACTACCAAGAGACATTTAGCCCAGCTGTTAAGATGGTTACTGTTAGAACCATTCTAGCCGTGGCTGTCTCTGAGCAGTGGCACATTCATCAAATGGATGTGTACAATGATTTTCTTCAGGGAGATCTCTATGATGAGATATATATGATCTTAACTCAGGGCTTTCAGAGCCAGGGGGAGACAAGACCAGCATGTAGACTCTTGAAATCCCTGTGTGGGCTCAAACAAGCACCCAGACAGTGGAATACTAAGTTGTCTGAGGCACTTCTGGGATTTGGCCTCATGCAAAGCCAACATGATCACTCATTGTTCATCAAAGGATCAGGGGAACATATCATAATCATCTTAGTGTATGTTGACGATATATTAATCACTGGGCCTAATCTGACACTAATAGCTGAGATAAAGACCAAGCTGTAGCTGAAATTCAAAATGAAAGATCTAGGGGAGCTTAAATACTTTTTTGGCATTGAGTTTGCAAGGTCACAGAGAGGCATCCTGATGCACCAAAGGAAGTACACTCTAGAGCGGATTTCTGAGCTTGGACTAGGAGCTGCAAAACCTGCAGCAACACCTATTGAAGCCAACATCAAATTGACCACTAAGGAATATGATGAACATACTAGCAGCTCTAGTGGAACTGATGATGAAGTGTTAACAGACATCAGCCAGTATCAAAGATTACTAGGAAAACTACTCTAACCTGACTGTCACAAGGCCAGACATATCATATAGTGTTCAGACACTAAGCCAGTTTATGCAAAAACCAAAAAGATCTCATTTGGAAGTTGCTCAAAGGGTGGTTAGATATGTGAAGAATCAACCAGGTCAAGGCATGCTGTTATCTAGCAAACAGAGAAATACTATCACTGCATATTGTGATGCAGACTGGGCAGCCTGCCCTATCACTAGGAAGTCAGTAACATGATTCTTCATAAGATATGGTGATTTCTTGATATCCTGGAAGTCAAAGAAACAAAGGACCATTTCTAGGAGTTTTGCAGAATCTGAGTACATAATTATTGCATCAATTGTAGCTGAATTGGTGTGGATACTTGGTCTGTTCAAAGACATTGGTATAGAAGTTGGAAATCAGCAATTCAAATAGCTGCTAATCCAGTGTTTCACGAACGAACCAAATACATTGAAATAGACCTTCACTTTATAAGGGAGAAGATACAGAATGGTCTGGTACGAACAGAATATGTAGCTACAAAGGAGCAGTTAGTAGACATTCTAACCAAAGGTCTATCACGAGCACAACACGAGCATTTGCTGTCCAAGCTAGGTGTACTTGATGTCTTCCTACCACCTAGCTTGAGGGGGAGTGTTGAGACAAAAGATATAACTTGAGTAAGGGGTAGTTTAGTCTATTTATGTGTTAGTAGATTAGTGCATTAGTTAGTCAATTAATAGTGCATGTGATTGGTTAGAGAGGTGGTTAGAGTAGTTAGTGGAGCTGTATATGTATATATACATGTTGCTCAGGTAATGTAAAGGCAGAGCATTCATTTCTTTCAATGTTGCATTCATCTCGTTGCTCCTCCTCTCTTCTCTCTCTCTCAACCTCCATTTCAGCAGAATTTCGTGGAGTACTTTAGGAAATCTGAAAAGGTTCAATAAATTGGAAGCAGGTAAATAAGTTAGCAAAAAGTAATACTAACACGTAAAATTTAATTGCAAGCTTTGAATATCAATGTTCCAAAATTCAAATTTACCAAGTTTGATGTACTAACTCTTAACATGTGTGATTTAGCTGAGTAAACTAAAATGCAATCGGAACCCAAACACAAAAATAAACTCCCGGGCTCCGCTCTCTCCCATATATATAAACGTGAAAAGTCTCCTCTCTGAGATTTCACAATTCAAATTCTCCTCACGCAAACAACACACTCTCCTTTCCTCTCAGCAAAATTTCAAATATCTCTTGAAACTTTCGAAAATGCTTGCATTCAAGTAATTTCCTCTCTCTCTCTCTCTCTCTCTCTCTCTCTCTCTCTCTCTCTCTCTCTCTCTCTGTTTACGATTTTGTTATGGTTTTGATCAGTATTTTGTATTCTGATGTGTTGAATGATTTTTCAGACCTGAAGAGCAGTTACAGCTCATTGAACGTGAAGAGATCGAAGATGAAGATGACTTATTCGAGGCTATTGATAAACGTAATTTCTCTTCTTTTTTTTCGGTTGCGAAATTCTTATGATTCTCCGTTTTCAGCTTCGCTCAGCAAAATACCGTATTCACATTTTTCTTCAAAATTCAACAGCAATTTTATTTAACTTCAAAACTTTGTTATCCTGTGCTGCGTGATTTTGCTTTTCTTAGTTGATGAAAGTTATGGCTCTGAAATAGTGGTTGCGATAGTCGTAGTACTGTTTTTCAGTTTCGCGCACATTATACTACTGCTTTGAAGTAACCTTGACACTCGTTAACTGTGTGATTTTCATTCTTAGTTGATGAAAATTATGGATCTGGATTAGTTCTTAGTATTCTGTTTTCGGATTGGCTCAACATTTTACAATGTTTTGGACTACGATATTTCTCATTTCTCGTAAAAAACTCAACAGGAATTTTGGTTAAACGTTAAAATTCATGTTAGTTTGCTGTATGAATTTTCTTTTTTAGTTGATGAAAGTTATGGATCTGATTTGGTTCGTTGTGATACATTTTGTATTTTGTACTTGCTAAGTTCCTCTGTTTCACGCAACATTACCTTCTTTTTTTTTCCTGAAGTATGGTTATTGTAAATATCTTATATAAACATCGTTTAATGCAAAATCCCGTTGCTGTTTATGATTTATCTTTTTATTCATCAAAGGTTCTCTGGAGTATGATTATTGTGTTATGCTTATGATTCGGTTCGTTGTGATACAATTAGAACTTACTGTTTACTCATGATTCAAGCTACTAGTTCATTGTTCAATCAATGCTAGTGTGTGTGATGTTGATTTTCAGTTTTTCTTCTGTAACCGAGATATGTGATTTTCAAGCGCATCAGAAGGATTTGGGGGTAATTTGGAGTATGATTTGTCTTGATCTCTTAACAAATCTAAGGAGTTCTCTTTAATTCAAAAAATTCATTGCGCTCTGTATTTTTCTTCGTTAACTCATAAAATTCTGGCTTCAAATCAGCTGGCCACACAATGTCCATATAGTTTACTGGTCTTATGCTCATTACTTCATCCAGTTGTCTTATTTTTCCATCAGTGCTAGTGTGTGTCTGTGTTTTGATCTCATCGTTGTAGCATAATTTACGGTTTCGATTTTCTGCTCTGTTTGTGAGTTTTTCATATCATGATCCTTTTGAGATTTTATGAACGTGTTAGTAATCTCATCGACTGCATTTTAGAAGAGTACAAACTCAAATTTGTAGTATTATGTTCCTCCTGGTATCTACCTTTTAAGGTATTGTCATGAACTAGTCTTTTAATAAAGGCCTATCTCCTTGAACTTACACAATTGAATGTAAAACTCAAAGCAGATCTTAAACTGGAATGATGAAGCTATAGTCTCAATTTTCGATATCAAATGTAAATTCATGTAAAATCCTGATAAGCTTTTCCTGACAATTAAATGTTATGAATCAGCTAACTTTGTAAAATTATTGAATATTTTATGCAGTGATCTCTCATGGAATCAATGCTGGGGACGTGAAGAAGCTGCAAGATGCAGGGATCTACACCTGCAATGGCTTGATGATGCACACGAAGAAGGTGAAAAGGAAAATCACTTCTGTTGTTTATTATCCATGATGCGCGCATTATATACTTCTGCTTTGCAATCTTTCTTCTAATAAGTATCAAATTTGTCTTGCTTCCAGAACTTGACTGGGATCAAAGGGCTATCCGAAGCAAAAGTTGACAAGATCTGTGAAGCAGCTGAGAAGATAGTGGTAAGAGATTTATGTTCTGATAGACTGATTGTCATATTCCAAGTGATGATATCATCATATGTTTCTGCTACTACTGACTTCACTATTTTTGTAATCTTTGCAGAATTTTGGCTATATTACTGGAAGTGATGCTCTGCTCAAAGTATGAGTTTTTTGTTTCTTTTTTCATTTTATGCCTTAACTTAGATTTTGCTTGACTGGTTATGTTAAAAGTTAATAGCCCACAAAACCTACTCTATAATTTAGTGCTAACAGCTCCTATTGAGTAAAATCACGGTGTTTCTTTTCTTTGCTATACACTCTTGATCCTTTCTGCTTGAGTGACATATTTAAGGAAGTGTAAAAGCCTATTTGTGCCTTGTATAAAAAGATATCTGAATACAACATGTTTGCTACAGAGGAAGCAGGTAGTTCGTATCACAACTGGAAGCCAGGCACTGGATGAACTTTTGGGAGGTAAACGTTCCACTACTTCTTAATTTTATCCTGAATTCTTTACTTGTCACATAAATAGCTCTTGGTTCTGATAGTTTCTTTTCTGGTGTGAACTTTCTGAAGGAGGGATCGAAACTTCAGCAATCACTGAAGCTTTTGGTGAATTCAGGTAACAATCAACTAATTATCGTTTTACCTTTGCTGTAGAAGCATTATCTGAATATTTCATCTAACTCTCTGCTGAATGAACAATTTATTCAGATCTGGAAAGACACAACTTGCTCATACTCTCTGTGTCTCTACTCAGGTTCACCTCTGATCTTAGTCAGAAGCAATGAAGTTTTTGACCTTCTAGATCCCTCCTTATCCTTTATATGCTTTAGACTTAATCATGGTATCATCCAGAACTTGACAAGAGTGTCAATTCATTTGTCTGATTTATTTCAGCTTCCTACTAGCATGAAAGGAGGGAATGGAAAGGTGGCTTACATTGATACTGAGGGAACATTGTATCCTTGCTGATATTTCCTTATTCATGTAGCATCAATAATCAACCTAGCACTTCAAAGTCTCTTCATGAAGTAGCAGCTGTAGAAACAAAAGAGAATGCTTCCTTCCATTTTATCTTGTTTCTTCAACTAAGTGTGCTATAGTCGGCCAGATCGTCTTGTGCCCATTGCTGAAAGATTTGGAATGGACGCAGGAGCTGTTCTTGACAATGTAAAGCATCTTTTGACCCTCATTTAATGATCTCTCCTCTCTTTGTTTAGCTTACTGATTTTTCAGCTGATTTCTGATCATTCCCTTTTTCCCCTTATGATGTGAATTCACCAGATCATTTATGCTCGTGCATACACATACGAACATCAGTACAACCTGCTTCTTGGTCTGGCAGCAAAAATGGCTGAAGAGCCTTTCAGACTTCTGGTGAAAGCCACAACTTCCAGTTTATCCTGAATAGAATCATTGCTAATTGAAGTTGGCTCATATACTGAAATATTACTTGCAGATTGTTGACTCTGTGATTGCTTTATTTCGAGTGGATTTCACTGGAAGAGGAGAACTTGCAGAACGTCAGGTATAACAAAATACAGAAATATGATATTTGATTTATAAGTTCCTGTCTCTTGATATTTATCTTTGTTCTAAGAAGAGCCAGCAATCACCTATTCTAAATATGTTTTAATTTGAATGACTGCACCTTCTTGCCATTTCCAGCAAAAGTTGGCTCAGATGCTGTCCCGATTGATAAAGATAGCTGAGGAATTTAATGTTGCTGTTTACATGACTAATCAAGGTAGGCAATCTACTTTGCGCAGCTCTACAAATTGTTGATATGTTTAGAATCAAAACAGAAGGAATAGGAGTATAAACATAATGAAACTTCCCAAGTGTTGATGTAAATGGATTTTACTCCAAACAGCTAAACTGACTCGCTTTCTGTGCGCTGTATGTTGATTGCCTTTTATCTACGTTGAAACTCCAAGCATGCTAACACAAGTAGTTGGATTGGTGAATGCAGTTATAGCTGATCCAGGTGGAGGGGTGTTCATATCAGATCCAAAGAAGCCAGCAGGAGGTCATGTCCTTGCTCACGCAGCAACCATAAGACTAATGTTCAGGAAGGGCAAAGGAGAACAGCGTGTCTGCAAGGTGTTTGATGCACCAAATCTTCCAGAGGCCGAAGCAATATCCTACTCTTATTAAATTAGCTTTCCTTCTCTTATCATTCTTTTCCACTGGGTCAAGTTTAGCAGCAAGGGGTTAACTGGAAAGTTCACCTAATTAAGGTGTTTTTTTTCATGGTCACCCATTAAGTTTTCTTAACAAAAAACACATTTTTCAGATAACACCAGGAGGAATTGCAGATGCTAAGGACTGAAGATCAGCTGGGACTTCCTCTCTGCTGCAGCAGAGATCTGCTTATGCTTACATTCCGCTTTCGTATTTTGATGCTTACTTTTTAGTGTTAGCTATAAGCATATCAGTTTAGCATAAAAAGATGTTTGTAAACCACTGTTTTGTCACACTTATCGTGGTTGCACGTGGTGTTATCACGAATATAGATTAGTTTCTTGCTCTTAGTCTAGTTATCTTGTATTATCATAGACGGTTTACAAAATGCAATAGCAATAATATTGGCAGTTTCGATTAGCATGCAATTTTAGTCCTAATACTTCATCCGATCATCTATGTTCACAAATCCTCGACTGTCCTCTTATATCTAACAACCTACATTTTTGACAAGGCCAGTTGCATATAGTGTGTTATGTGCTTAGTTTTGCTTTGCACCGATGAAAATGCTGCAGAGGGCATACCATCTTTTAAGCAACGACTGTTTCTTAGGCCTTAGCCCAACTTTTGGGTATACTACAAACATTCTCAATGCACAAGGGAACAGACCTGACTGCTGATGTTTCTTATTAGCAAGAAACATTTGCCAGGCAGCATGGATCTGAAACGTGTACCAATATTGGCTAAAAAAACATTTGTAAATGGAAAAAGCAAGGGTAAAAGAAAACAGAAGCACCAAATGCACATACTAAGATATAAGCAAAGCCCCTGTATCAAGACAGAAGTTATTTAAAGTAGACGTCTTCCAGCCAAGAACATGGCCTAATTCCAGTATACGACATAGCAAATCACGTTCCTCGGTAGCAATATGAAATATCTTTCCTCACCTTTTAACATTTCTCTACAACCATAAAGCTCATAGCAATTGAAGTTGAGAATAATAGAAAGAGTTGGGAAAGCACAAGATAGAAGGCCAAATAATAACGAAGCCTTCGTGGTGATGAAAACTGCAGTCAGCTCAGTAGTGTTGGGACCAGTTAGCGGCACTGTCCACTCTGGGCATGCCTGTACCCCCTTTCTTAGACTCAGCATCCACCTTAAAGTTTGCACCGCACACCTCGCCTGAGCTGTCCACCCTTGGTACTGGTTTCAACTCATTACGCGGGTGCTCATAACTCCTCAAGCCACCAGAAGATGTGAAGAAGCATCCTGAAGAAGCAAACAAACAAGAAGACACATAAGTATTCTGCGAAAGATTCAAAAGTAAACCATCTGACATTGAGCATCTTAAAAAAGAAACGAAACAACAAACACAAAACACATTGTTATAGCACTAAATCCGAAAATGCTACATAAGGATGGACGGGAAAAGCAACAACAACAACAACATACTCAGTATTATCCTACACTGTGGGGTCTGAGGAGTCTGGGGAGGGTAGTGTGTACGCAGGCCTTACCCCTACCTTGTGAGGACAGAGAGGTTGTATTATGAATCCCAAATACAAAAAAGTGGAGTACGAGAAGCACATGAAGCATATATCCAAACCCACAGATATTATGTCATGTGTCAACCTGAATTATGAATCTCATCCCATTTGATTGATTTATGTATAGGCATCTTGCGGTCTTGCCACATGAACTTACCTACCTCTCCCCAATTTACTCTCTTCTTCACCCAGACAAAAGGAGATAAAAGTCATACAAAAAGAATTATTTGCACTAATAGAAGAGGTCGCAATGGATCCGATACACATCAAATCATTTGGTTATGTTGGTCATCAGAGACCGCATATTAATTAGCTTGCAAAGAGCATATTTGTCTATTTTAATCATCCTATGGTTGAGCAGCAACTCCTTGTTTTCCATGTCAATAGAAGTTCTTTTACTGATTACTCATTCAAAAACAAAAATGAAATACTATGTATGCAGCTTCTAGGACCTTTCCCTTCAATGCAAGAAGTTCATCTGCATTACCTTTGGGAAATGGTGCAAAGGATTTTCCACAGCCTTGCTTCACAATGTCAGCATCATCGGAGAGGACTAGGTGGCCTTCAGAATCAGTACCCCAGAAGAAGGGCACATTCCCATCAACATCCTATAACAATGAAAGTGGTACATGTAAAGTCTAGTTCGACAACAAGAGACGAGACGATTCAAGACAACAAGGACTACTCACAGAAGCTAAGAAGGAAATCTTTGAAGAGCTATCGTAAAGAACGAAAGCAAACTTTCCATGAATATCTCTCACAACTTGATCTGGAGGATAAGGACCTCTATCCCTCAAAGTCCTGTAAGCCTCAATAACAATGATCACTTCGTTTGCTGTCTTGTTTAACCCATATTGTTGCTTAAGATGAGCTACATTCTCAATGTGGCCTTGAAACAAGCAGAATATGTCATCCACAACAGCGAACAACCTACAAGAAACAGTGCAGTGATAAGATCATCTAATTATCTTTATTCGTTCTACAAGTTCATACCATTACATATACTATGTGGTAATGCAAAAAAACAAATAAATCTAAAATTTCTAGAATTGCATTATTCTGATGGCTGAAGATGTATCCAGAAAGCATGATTTGGTTCAAATAAATAAATCTAAAATTTCTAGAATTGCATTATTCTGATGGCTGAAGATGTATCCAGAAAGCATGATTTGGTTCAAATAAATAAATCTAAATTACACTAACATGAAATAGAATTTACACAAATAAGTAATCATACTAAAGCAGCAACTGAATGACAATGGTGATTATTAAATATTAAATAAAAAAAGAAAAAGAAAAAGGATTAAAAAGGAAAATCTGTCACACACAAGCCACTAGTGCATCCCCTAAAACTAAACCCCAGAAAGACCATGATTACATCCAAACCAAAACCGGCAAAAAACACAAATCACAAATTCAGCACACATTTGACCAGACTTCCACATTCAAATTCACCAAGATACACTATAATAAAAATTAAAAAAAATCGAAAAAAATAAATAACTTGCAGAAAAGATGATAGATCGGAGTACACAAGATCACAAACTCAACTGTCGACCAAAAAAAGAAAAAAAGAAATGAAGTAAACAGATCATCATTTTCCTACAAAAGAAAAATGGGGGACGGAGTCGAATAGTCGAGCAGCACAATTAAAAAAACCAACTATATATGTAGCCAAGAAACCAGTCGATAGATCTCTATTTTCCTTTTTCTTTTTGGGGTACATGACAACAAATTCACACAAACATCAGATCAAAGACAAATGGGATAAGGAATAGGACCTGGGAAGAAGAGGGTTTTGGCGATCAGAGGAGTAAGCCAAGAAACCAGAAGAGCCCAAGTTGATGGTGACAGAGCCTGAATGGTTGGAGGCAAAGCGCTGTGCCAAGAAACCATCTTTCAGAGCAGAAACTGCTGTCTCATTGTTGGGACTCTGAAGCCCTTCTGGGCTTTTAGCCACTGATTTGTCAAAAACTGCTAGCATTTTTGGATGAAAAGTTTCACTGATTTGTTTTGTGAGATGACAAGTGATTCTGCAAAATGATGATGATCTATTGGGGGGGTTGAAATAGTACGCTAGTGGGAGTTCTTTTCCGCGTCCTTTTTATTGGATTACCATAAATGCCCTTTCTTCATAATATAATTTTTTGTTTTTGTTTTTGTTTTTGTTTTGGTAATTAAATTTTCATTACAAAGGGAAATATTTATAACTGGTACCCTGAAGTTGGGACATAGAACCCAAACTTCAATACTATTTCTTGCTTTTAAACAACTCAAACAACTACAAACAAATTCTGCTATAGGTAAAAATTTAGTTTTTGCATCTGTCTAGCTAGACCTGGTTTCAAACTCCCTCTACAGTGCACCTCTTGATTTATCAATCTAATTAACTCTGCACAACTTTGTTTCTTGTTCTGAAAAATTCGATAATTTCTCTCCAACCAGATGTGGTACACAGCACCTGCTAGAACCCTTATGTATGTTGCTGCCTATGAGCTCTAACCATTAGCATATGTTGTTATCCATTCTATCTCTTCAATCGATCCCTGGACTGGTTTACTCACTCGTTTTCATTGAATTAACTTTAGCCATATTGCGTATGAGAATCTGCATTTGAAGAATAAGTGTTGATGGTCCTCTATTTCGTCCTCACACAATGGACATATTGGATTGGTTGGGATCCCCCACTTTGTTAGCATGTTCCTGGTATATAATCTTCTATGGATTGCTAGATTATGAACACCCATTTTGGACTCCCCTTGTTGTTGCATATGGCTCTACTGCACAATACTTTGGGAAACTCTCCTCTTAACTTGTATATCTGTATGATAGAATAGCATTGCATTAAGCACCTCTTCTTCCCTTAAACCAGCTTTAGTTAGATGCTTTGTTGCCTTAAGTATTTTCTGAATTAGCCATGATGCCTGCTTGCTCTGTACACTCCGGGACAAGAGTGGATTGCTCTAGTGGTGAGAATCTTTCACTTCCAACCGAGAGGTTGTGAGTTCGAGTCACCCCAAGAGCAAGGTGAAGAGTTCTTGGAGAGAGGGAGCCGAGGGTCTATCGGAAACAGCCTCTCTACCCCAGGATAAGAGTAAGGTCTGCGTACACACTACCCTCCCCAGACCCCACTAGTGGAATTATACTGGGTTGTTGTTGTTGTAATACATATGCACCCACAGAATTCAAATTTTATCTTTCATCTTGCACAGATTCCATAGATGCTTTAATGTTGCTTTGTTCCATGTGTATATATCAGTGATGTTAATTCCTCCATGTCACACCCCAACCTCGGGAAGTGCGACCGGAACACGACACCCTTGTTGGGCCGACCAGGCTTCCCAACAAGACACCAGAATTAATAAATGTTTATCATTGGCTATGGAAGATACCTTAACTTTGAATACATATACGTAAATGTGCATACATTGATAACAAGGTTCTAATAATATTTACACACATCTGAACACTAGTCTGCAAGCCTCTAAGAATACTATGACACACAACTTGGTCGGGATAGGGCCCTACCATACCCAAAATGGCTGGATTATACACTTTAGTACCTATCGACTTCTGAACAGCTACTCCGGAGAAGTGGAGTGCGACAACCAACATATAAAGTGTGCACCTTATTGAGAAGGGACGTCACCGAGTCTATCTGTACCCGTGGGCATGGACACAACACCTAAAAGAAAGGGGCGTCAGTACGGAAGATGTACTGAGTATGTAAGGCTGATACAATATGTAATTTATCGACATAATATAAGAGATGTGAATACATAATTTCAACCTAAATACCAAAGATAGGCCACCGGGGGCGTACACTATGGGAACCATGAACTTTAAATGCATACAAGCTTTGTAAAGGTGAGGCCACTCGTTGGGGTTATATATTACATATAATATAGTATTATTCAGTCGCTTTTTGGGGCATATCATATCACATATCGTACCGGCCTCATAGAGGACTCGGTAAAGTCTCATATTGTTACCACATCGTATCGGGCCTTAAGAGATCTCGGTTGTACCCGATCTCAACAGAACTCGGCGTACCCGGTCTCAAAAGGACTCAGTCTTACTCGACCTCATAGAGGACTCGGTAGTATCTCATATCACATCACTTCGTACCCAGCCTCATAGAGGACTCAGTCATACCCGGCCTCAGGAGATCTCGACCGTACCCGGCCTTAATAGGACTCGGCGTAGTCGGCCTCAAGAGGACTCGATAGCCTTACATCACACATCATCGTACCCAACTAATCAGTGGTTGCATAATAAGTGTCGTACCCAGCTGACTATAGCGTGGCTCGGTAAAGTAAATAGATACGTATATATATAAGTGCCATACAAGATCAATATCAGAAGACATCAAGATTAAACTTAGAATGAATCACATTTTCCGACCTTAAGATACTATATGGGAACATATCAGGCTTGAGAGAAATGCCACCAACAAAGTAAGTACCAGAACAGGAACAACGTTATCAAGAAGAGATTAGGACAATTCAGTCTAACAACATAGAAATTCTTCAGAGCGAGAGGCTTACTTCAAATCATGCCAAGAAGGAAGGTTGCCTTATATACCTTATTGAAGAACTAGCTATGCTTCCTGAGTTCTTACGTTTTTGTAGTGATTAACTCCGCCTCCAATGAATTTCCAAACCTTAGTATAACAAGATAACATATATTACAGTGACGATCTCAAGATTCTTCACGCTATGCTCTCTTAGGTTTGCCTCTGATTTAGCCTTGGATTGTTTAGGAATTCTCGGGGGCAGGGGGGAAGGGGAAGGAGGGAGGGGGGTTAGAGCATTTTGGGTGAACTAAAATTGGTGATATCTCCTAGAATGAAAGAGTGAAGAGTCATTATGTCCTTTTATACCCGGCCTAAGAAATCCACCGCCCCACAAAATAAATATGTCGCCCCCCACCGTCCACTGCGCCTGGTGGGACAACTGACGCAGTTTGGCGAAATGTAATTGCTCTTTTCTCCTTATACAAGTTGCCTGCTGATGGGTTGTGCCCAAACCTTATAAATCTCTAACTTCATAGGTGGGGGAAAAACATGGGGCATAACATCATCCCCCCGAACATTCATCCTCGAATGTTGAATCGTAGTCACTCCTTGCAAACTTCTCTAGTCGTTTTGGGTTGTGCCCGTTATAGTAGTCTCATTTTTATCCTCCTGTAGTATGGAACAAATGGGGGTACCTGGATTTCATATCTTCTTCAGATTCCCAGGTTATTTCTTTTATATTATTGTTCCTCCAAAGTACTTTAACTGAATCTACCTCTTTGGTCCGCAATTTACAAACTTGACGATCTAGGATAGCCACCGGAATTTCTTCGTAAGATAGGTCCTCTGAGACTTGAATATCTCCAATAGGGGTAATACAGGATAGATCATGCACGCACTTACGAAGCATAGACACATGAAATACCGGATGCACTGCTTCCATTTTCGGGGGCAACTTAAGCTTATAAGCCACTTGACTGACCTTTTGAATAATTCGATATGGTCCGATATACCAGGGTCTGAGTTTGCCTCTTTTTCCAAATCTCATCACGCCTTTCATAGGCGACACCTTCATGAATACCCAATCTCCCATAGAGAACTCCAAATCTTGTCGTAAGTTGTCCGAGTAAGATTTTTTCCTGCTTTGAACAGTCAATAATCGATTTCGAATCATTTTCACCTTTTTTACAGCCTATTGAACCAACTCAGGACCTAATAACTTTGTCTCACCAACTTCGTACCAGCCGATAGGAGACCTACACTTATGTCCGTATAGGGCCTCCTCATACAGTGCCACCAAATTCTAGCATGGTAACTGTTGTTGTAGGAAAATTTGATGAATGGTAGATGATCCTCCCAACTTCCTTTAAAGTCCAAAATGCAGGATGGTAACATATCCTTGAGCGTCAGAATAGTGCATTTGACATAGTCATCTATTTGTGGATGAAAAGTTATGCTAAGGTAGATCCTCGTACCCAATCCTTGTTGGAATAATTTCCAGAAGTTAGCCGTAAATTGGGCCGATATGATAGAAATCGGAACCTCATGGAGTTGAACTATTTCTTTGATATATAACTTAGCATAATCTTTAGCCGAGAAGGTATTCTTAACATGTAGGAAATGAGCTGATTTGGTGAGTCGATCCACGATAACCATATGGAATCAAACCTTCAACATGATCGCGGTAACTCAGTAACGAAGTCCATGCTGATCATCTCTCATTTCCAGGTTAGAATTTCTATATTCTGAAGCAGTCCTCCTAGTTTCTGGTGTTCAACTTTAACTTGTTGACGATTCGGACAATGTGCGACGTATTCGACAACGTTCTTCTTCATGTCATTCCACCAGTATACGTGTCGAAGATCATGATACATTTTGGTTGACCCTGAGTGAACAGAGTATCGGGATTGGTGAATTTCTGCCATGATCTGCCCTCGGAGTCCCCTGACATTGGGCACACACAACCGGTGCTTGTATCCAAGGACTCTATCCTCCGATAACTGGAACACTTGATTTTTTTGAAAGGGAATGCCCTCTCTTATTTTCACCAGGACTGGATCGTCGAATTGTCGTGCCTTTAATTCAGCCACTAGCGAGGATTCAACAGAGTTTCGGACTATGGCTCCTCTGTCACCAGTGTCAAATAATCATACACTTAAATTTGCCAACTGATGCAAGTCTTTAGTTATTCCCAACTTATAATCTTCCACATGTTGTAAATTACCCATGGACCTCTGACTTAATGCGTCGGCCACAACGTTTGCCTTCCTGGGTGGTATAGAATATCAACATCGTAATCCGTTAATAATTCGAGCCACTTCCGCTGCATTAAATTTAACTCTTTTTCTTGAATATGTATTGCGGTAAATATTTTAACATGAACCCCATATAAATAATGACGCCGTATTTTCAGAGCAAAAATGACAGCCGCTAATTCTAGATCATGCATCGGGTAATTCTGCTCATGTTTCCTCAGTTTCCTTGAAGCATATGCAATAACCCTACCATGTTGCATCATAACACTACCCAATCCCACTCTTGAGGCATAAAAAATATATAACATATCCCTCGGGTCCTTCAGGAAAAGTCAAAACTGGTGCTGAAGTTAGCATGTCCTTTAACTCTTTGAAGCTCTTTTCACAAATGTCGGTCCACTGAAATTTAGCTACCTTATGTGTCAACTTCGTTAATAGAGCATCTATGGATGAGAAATTCTCCACAAACCTTCGGTAGTAACCGGCTAAGCTCAAGAAGCTATGTAACTCCGTAGGAGTTATGGGCCTTGGCCAATTCTTGACTGCTTTGATCTTTTCACTATTGACTTTGATACCCTCACCCGATACTATATGCCCAAGAAAATCTACTGAGTTTAACCAAAATTTGCATTTGGAAAACTTGGCGTACAATTTATGATCCTGGAGAGTACGTAAAACCATTTACAAATGCTCTGCTTCTGATCGTGAATATACCAAGATATTATCTATGAACACAATCACAAAGATATCTAAAAACGTCTTAAACACCCGATTCATTAGATCCATAAAGCCACTGGTGCGTTGGTTAGGCCAAAAGACATGACAAGGAACTCGTAATGGCCATACCTGGTCCGGAAAGTTGTCTTTGGAATATCTTCTCCCTTGATCCTCAACTGGTGATATTCGGATCTGAGATCGATCTTTGAAAAATACTTAGCGCCTTGCAATTGATCAAACAAATCATCGATCCTCGGAAATGGATATTTTTTCTTAATGGTTACTTTATTCAGCTGTCTATAATCGATGCACATCCTCAACGAACGATCTTTATTACAAACAAATAGAACTGGGATCCCCACGGGTGAAGTATTGGGTCAGATAAAGCCCTTATCTAAAAGATCTTTCAATTCCTTCAACTCGGCAAGAGCCATCCTGTACGAAGGGATAGATATCGGTTGCGTATCGGGTTACACATCGATGGCAAACTCGATCTCTCTCTCTCTCTCTAGAGGGATGCCCGGGAGCTCATCAGGAAACACATCGGGAAATTCATTAACAACTGAAACTGATCGAAGGGTTGGAGGATTTGTCTCTGTGTCATACACCCGCACCAAATGATAGATACATCCTTTCGAGATCATTTTTCGAGCCTTAAGGTAAGAAATAAACTTCCCTTTTGGTGCTACGACATCACCCTTCCATTCAATAATGGGCTCTCCTGGAAAGTTAAAGCGAACGACCTTCTTACAACAATCCACAGTAGCATAACAAGAAGCCAGCCAGTCTATATCCATAATAACATCAAATTCTACCATTTCTAATTCATTTAAATCAGCTAAGGTATGATGATCATAAATCATCACATCACAACCTTGATATACTCACCTAACTGTCGCGGACTCGCCTACGGCGTGGACACTTCAATTGGCTGATGTAATATTTTAGGCTCCTTACCATATTTACCAGCAACAAATGGAGAAATGAATGATATAGTGGAACCTGGATCTATCAATGCTTACATATTAATGGAAAATACAGATAGTATACTTATGACCACATTTGGTGATGGCTTTAGGTTCTGTCATCGTGACAACGCATAAATGTGGATCTATCGTACACCTAGTCTAGACGCTCCACCTCTAACTCTACCACTTCCTACCGATTGTGGCACTCCTTTCTCATGAGGGCGTGCTGATGATGAAGAGCTGCTACAGATCCCGTTAACAACATCATATTACCCATATTTCTCACTGGGGAAAAAGTATAATGTGACCGGGCTGCCCACAAGAATAGAATAAGTCTGAACCATGGCGGCAATGCCCATAATGATTCCTACCACATCGGCCACAATGCGGCACTAGGGGCCTCATCTTACTAGGGTCTCCACTATATTGTGAGCTTTGTCCCCGAAATTTCTGACCCTGATCAGAATGAGTGATCCGATCACGACTTGTGACGTTGCATTAGCCACCGGATAAGATGGGTGTCGAGGAAACATGGGTCTGAACTTATCTTGAGACTCTACTATATCACCAGTAGATCGGGGCTCTCTTATGTTGGCCCCGGTCATACTCTCGAGCGGCTCGTTGTTGCCTCTTGCGATCCTCCAAGTTCTGTGCATAGGTTGGAATACGAGCAATATCCATATTCGGACTCAGAGAAGCAGTGCTACACTCATTAATCAAATGTGGTCCTAATCCACCCACAAATCGATGTACTCTATCACTCCTCTCCGCCACAATCCAAGGGGCATACTTAGCCAGGGAGTTAAATTGCATGATATACTCCCGAACACCCATGTTACCTTGTTCCAAACGTAAACATCTATCTTGTTTGGCTCGACGAAGCTCAATAGGCAAATATTGCTGCAGAAATACCTCAGAAAACTCTTTTCATCCTGCTAGTGGAACAAGAGGTCCCCTAGATTGTTCTCAAGTTTCATACCAAGTCATAGCAATATCCCACAATCTATAAGAGGTGAGATCCAGAGATTTAGTATCTAGCATGCATAACTCGTAAAGTCCGTTGCATCTGATCTAGAAAGTTTTGGGGATCTTTGTTTGGGTTTGTTCCTATGAATACCAGGAGGTCCAAATTAATGAAATCCTAAACTCTCACACTAACCGTTCTATCTTAAGTGGCGGGTCCTATCATTGGGCATAAGAGGCCACTAACCGAGTCAACAACTGTACTACAGTCCTCATATCTAAATCTTGGTCAGAAGAAACCGGGGGAGGAACATGAGGTACATTAGTTTCTCTATGTTGTTCTGGGGGTAGTGGTGCTATCCCCGAAACCTGAGTATCAGCCTTATTATGAGTTTCGTGTCGATTCATATGGGCAGGTGGCACCTGATTGGTACCCTCCCCCGTCTCTTCATCCAATCTCTGAACAACTGTTTGACGTCTCATAATAGGCATCGCTATAAACATAAACAAAATGAGGGTTAAAAGTGAACACTTATGACTCAACTCCATCATATGATCTAGATCAGAAAGAAAGGTATTCACTCTAAATATCCTGTAGCCTCCTGTTTATAAGTATGGTGCACGACATACCCATAAACAAGACTCTACTAGATACAGCTTGCAGAACACCCAAGGACAAACCTGCTTTGATACCAAGTTTGTCACACCCTAACTTCGGGAGGTGCGACCGGCACACGACGCTCTAAGGCCCGTGTGAACCAACATCCATACTTAAATCTCCTAGCAGGAACATAGGCCGACAAGGCCTCCCAACAAGATAACATGATTATTAAATGTTCATCATTGGCTATGGAAGAGATATATATATATATATATATATATATATATGTAAATGTACATCCATTGATAACAAGGTTCTAATAATATTTACACATCTGAACACTAGTTTGCAAGCGTCTAATAGTACCATGACACACAACTTGGTCAGGAGATGGCCCCACCGTACCCAAAATGGCTGGATTATAAACTTCAGTACCTATAGACTTCTGAACAACTACTCCGGAGAAGTGGAGTGCGACAATCAATAGCTGAAGCATGCACCCTACTGAGGAGGGACATCACTGGGTCTATCTATACATGTGGGCATGGACACATCACCCAAAAGAAAGGGGCGTCAGTACGGAAGATGTACTGAGCATGTAAGGCTGATGCGATATGTAATTTATCGACATAACATAAGAGATGTGAATACATAATTTCAACCTGAATAC